TCTTCTTTTTACGATCGTCGCGAAGAAATGTTTTTATGTATATATTTCCGTTTTTCTTTCTTCTTCTTCTTCTTCTTCTTTTTACGATCGTCGCGAAGAAATGTTTTGTTCCGTGTATCGTGCACGGAGGATAAGAAGGAGATGGTAAGAGCGATATATTTAAGAAAGAGCAGGATGTTCGATTTACGGGAGAGAGGAGGGGCATGGCTCGAGTTCAGGGCTGGCCATTAGAAACTTAAATAGGATTAACTCGGTACTTGTTTATGATTTCAGCATTCCCGTTCGCTGCTGGCATTCGAGCTGGATATCCCGCGGTTCTTCCCGGCCAATATGGGTGAGTTCTTCAACGCGCACACGTTTATGTGATTTTGTCCAAAAGAGAGTAGAGAATTAAGAAAGAGTTGCATTCGAAAAAAAAAAAAAAATTAATATATACAGAATATACAGCGCAGAGGAAAGAGTAGTAGACGATTTTTTAGACTTTTATTCAAAAAATTGAATTTTAAAATTGCATCGTGATATCATTAGAGACGATGCATCAACGATCGTTTTGAATAGTTAGTTTACGTTTACGTTTAATATTTATTTATTTTTTTCCTCTTATATTAAATATTGTAATAATACGCATTTTTGACACTCGCATTTTAAACTAAGGGGGAGAATAATTTTTTTTTCTCGAATTTTTTTCGCATTGATTTTGTCGTAGAAGGAGAACGATTTCATTTATTGAAAAAAAAAAAATAACGTAAAAAAAGAGAAGGTACTCGGTGTTGACGGTGTTTCCAGTTTCATTTATCTTGTGAACATTTTGTTAAAGGCAGACTATATATAACGTTTCAGCATCCTGACACACACACGCGCGTAAGGGAGCAAGCCGAGAAATTCCCTTTTCGAGATCCTTGAGAGCGCCATGGGCGCCGTTCTAAGGAGCGCAAATATATTAAGAAAAAAAAAAAAGAAAAGAGACGAATGTGGATAGAAAAAAAAAAGTACAGAGAGACCTGAAACGAAAAGTAAAAAAAAAAAATAACTATATACGTATATACACACACACATACATGTGTACGAGAGAAAAAGTGAGAGAAAAAAGAGGAAGGGGCAGAGAAAATATTTGCAATCGATGAAAATGTGAGGGAGGGAGAAAGAAAGAAAGAACGCGGCACACGTACAATCAGAAGCCATGAGTATCCACGAAATATTATTTCTACAAAAAACCGTCAAAATGTCGACTTCCGAGGATCGGCCTCTTCTTCTAGTACCTATTACTAGTATTTTTTTGGTTGTGTTTTTTTTGTTTCTTCTTTATTGATGAGGTTGACGTGAAGTGATATGATAATTGATTTGCGGTTGCTGAGAGATTTGTTTGTTTACTGGTTTTGACTTTTTTTGGTCTTTACACTCTTTTACACTCTTTTTCTTTAATCATAATAATTAATCAATATTAATATTAATTAAAAAAATAAATAAATAAATAAAAAAATAAAGGAAATAATCACGCGCGTGATTATTCATCTTCTAATTAGGGATTTTGTCTTTTGATCATTAATCACACATCGTTAATCCAGCGAGCGTGGTTTAAATAACTGTGAGGCAACGTGGTTTACGTTGTTGTTCAGCTAATATAACTCGTTACCCGTTAAAACGTTGCAAAATCTATATATCATCGATGGCCACGCACACATCGGCGAACGTTATAAATGTACACACACACATATATATATATACACACACACACGGATAGTTTCCATGTATAGACTTATTTTTTCTTTTTTTTTTCTCCATAGCATCTGTTCCGTACTCTCTAGTGTATCTAGTATCTTGTGTTTCGTATCGAGTGTCCTTTCCTACTCCTCTCTCCTCTTCTTTTCCTTCGATTACTTTTCGCGCGCATTCCTTTCCGTTCCCCGTCTCGTTCATTCACTTTTATCGAATTCGCGCAATTTCGGTGTATTTCGTGTTCAACAACGTGTTCAACAATGTGAAAATTCGTCGTGTTATTTGCTACATCAGCCCGCGAAATTTTTCTCGCTCGTGGATCCTCGAAATATTAGTTCGCGGGAAACTCGCGCGGAGGCGCTCGTGTTGAATTATTCATCCGTTTATTCGAAAATAAGCAGAGTGGGGGGAAGGAGGAAGGAGAGCAGATAAGAGGAAAGGAAGAAAGAGAAAGAAAGAAAGAAAGAGAATATGGACGAAGATTTTTAACCGCGTGCAGCAGAATTTCGTTGAATTATGAACGAATACGGTCGATTTCTCCGAACCGTGTGGATCTCCCGTATTTTTCACCGGAAATCGACCCGCACCGCCGCGAAACACGGCAACGTTTCATTAATTTTTCATCGTGCCAATCGATTTTATCGCGTTACACTCGGTTTGGCCCAGTCAGATTCTTAGCCGCAGCGTCGAGAAATTCGTCGAGATATCGAACGGTTATCGAAACCATGGAAGACAGAGAGCGAGAGAGAGAGAGAGAGAGAGAGAGAGAGAGAGAGAGAGAGAGAGAGAGAGAGAGAGAGAGAGAGAGAAGAAGAAGAAGAAGAAAGTAAA